ACTAACCCGAATATAACAGTCCCATTTGTAGATGCAGTCTGAAGGTTTCCAGTCACCTGCTGGAGATGTATGGTGTCCTTTACAAAGTATCCAGCAGTTGAGCTTCCATCACCATAAACAACGTTATATTGACACTGAAGATCAGGCTTGCAACCTGGGAGTGGACCATCATAGGTTGAAGTACAAAAGTCTTGATCACAATAAACCAGGCTTGAAGTGGATGAGCTCTTTGGATCATATAAAGTTAATTGTATCTGCGTAGAATAATTAAAACAATAAATGTTTTCTCAACAAAAGTTTATCATAACACAAATAATACAACAACCACAATTTTACACTATAACATACTACTTGTGACTTTCACATATCTGATCAAATCTAGAGAGAGTATCAAGTTAGAAAAGGAACATACACCAAGATCACTTTTTGTGGGGCACTTGTCACATCCACCACAATTCACCCATAGAATGTCACTTCCAGTATCAACTTGCACATAATAGTCCTTTGATGGATTTCCTAATCCAATTTTAGCAAAATAAAGCCTGAAAAAATTTAATAAATGAGCAATGAATTAGCATCACAATATATTGCAAAAGAAAAATGTTTTCAATAATACCCACACAAAATCTCTCTCTCTCTCTCTCTCTCTCTCTCTCTCTCTCTCTCTCTCTCTCTCATATATCCAATAGAACAAGTCAGCTGTGTCTTAAGCTAGCATTAGCTCAAGTAAGCTGCTTTTCAAAAATTTTAGCTTTAAATTTTATAAATATATGTATGGGACGGAATTTGAGAGCAATTTAGCATAGAAACAATGCCACCATGAAATTTAAAGAGCAGAATTTTTCTAATACATAAAGATGAAACTGAAAAAAGAAATTGAAAATAATTGTGAAAAGACAATGAATTTAATAACAGTTTACCCTCCAAAGAAAAAAACAAGTAATCCTTTTCTGCGGTAATTGGATCTCACACAATAAGTCAACTCAGTTATCATTTAACATAACCATATATAAAAACATCAAAATTCAGCTAAACCAAATATCTTTTGAAAAGGAAAAATAACAATTTTCTTCACCTGAAAATCCATTTACTCCAAAAAGAATTCCTTCAAACATAACATATAATTAAAAAACACACACGCAGACACAAATACTTCTATATATAACCAAAAATAATCCATAAAAACGAAAACCCAACAAGGAAATATAAACATGTAAGCACAAAGCACATTAAAAAAATGAAAAACTAACCCAGTTTCAGAGGGGTGACCATTGCCACCTAAAGGGAGATCGACATCCACAGTAGAGAGAAGTCTACCGCGACGACGGATATCGTGAGCTTTCAATGCACTTAAATTCTTTCCTTTACCTGCAAATTTATGTTTTACATCAAAAGTCACCACGTTTCCAAAACTACAACGACCAAATTCACCCACCACCGTCAACGCCACCGTCACAACCACCAACGCCAATCTCCTTAGATCCATCATCCTTAACAACAACCCCCTCTCTCTCAATCCCTCTCTCTCTCTCTCGAACTTTCAAACTTTTCTTTTTTTTTGTTTTGTTTTTATTTTTTTCCAGTTTTTTTTTTTCAAAGAATGCGGAACACAGAGAGAGAGAGGAGGCAGAGGCCAGAACCCATGAAGAAGAAAAAAGGTATGAAAAGAAAGAGAGAAATGCGCGTTTTCAACGGCAAATGACACGTCTTATTTGTAAGAGCACGAGAAGTCCAAGGTGGTATTATTTGGCAAACTATAAAAACGTCGGTCGTTTTTCTTGTTTTCTCTTGTATTTTTTTCTTCTTTTTTTTCATTTTTTTATCTGAATAAAATCAATTTTAATTACATTTTATTATAATATTATACATAATTAAGATATCAAAAAAAATTAAATTCAAAATTATCAATTCTTATTTGTTAAAAAAATTAATTTCATGTAATATCACAAAAAATTATGATCAAAATTAATTAAATTTAACACAAAAAAATGTTTTTTTTTTATGTTGTTTATCCTTTATTCTTTGTGAAAGGTTAGGGGTCTCTCCATCTCTGCAAGTCTTCTTTGCTTCACGTTTTCTTTGCTTTTCTTTTGGTATTTATTCCCGTAAAAGACTTCTTTTCAAGTCATCCCTCTTTCGGGGTTTGTGTTTTTGGGACTTTGACTTCCATTGTCAACAGTTGGGATTTTTTTCGTTAAGACCTGGCGGCCACTGGATGGCACCTATTCTTTTATTTCTTTTGAAAAAGTTGGAATTTTTTGTTTAGGAAAGAAAATTCCGTTTACTTATAAAGTCAACATGAGTATTTCATAATTTTATATCTTTTAAATATTTAAATTTTAAATTATTACGTCGATGTAATCACGTATGTAACAATTGATTCTATTATGTCATTAATTAAGGATATCCTAATATAAAATCTCAAGTATAAGACTCATTTATTTTAGATGAGTGATCAAAATTAAAATATTATATTTTAAAATTAGATAATCAACATAAAAAATTTAAAAATAAAATAATTTATTTTTAAATTTTAAAAAAATAATGAATGTCTTTAAATAGAATTATATATCATTTACATAAGAGTTGTATGGTGTTTTTTCCTCGTAATCATCTATATGTGTTTGGAATTATCAAAATGTCTAACACTTACTCTTTGTCGTTTATAGTGGATTGATTTAATCGAAGAGTGATAATCCAATGAAGTTGTTCTTTTTGTACCTAAAAATAAATAAATTACAATAATACCTTATTTTTAAATTTTTTAAAAAAAATTGAAACAACTAAGTCAAAAGAAACAATATATATAAACTCATAATGCACATGGAACGTTCAATGATTAATTCCCAACATCACATACAACTTAATACCACTAAATTATAGTTAAACATATTTTTCTAAATGAATTCATACCATATTCATCATGTTTAAATGTTCTCTTGAACACTTATCATATATTGGCATGCAATATTCCATTTCCAAGCTTAATCAATTCATGTATCAGTCAATATAATTATTAAAATTCATTGATTTATTACTTAATCATTATTATTTTTTAAATGGAGGTTGCTTATAATTTTTTATAATTGTGCAAATTTAATGTTAAAATTTGAATCAGCCACTGAATATGAATGCAGTAGTAGTAGTGGAAGGTAGGTTAAAATTCTCCAACATTTGTTTCTGGTTGTGGATGGTAGGTTTGATTTTCTGTTTAATTGTTTAAAGGGAAGTAGTACAAGTTGATTTCATTCTTACTCCTTTAATGTAAGTTTCTGACACAGCAGGGAATGATATGAAGTGCTCACACAGTATCTTTCTACGCTACATTTGATTGGTGGATAGCAGTAAATCTGACCAAATCAGCATTGAGAAAATTATATATTTATATATATATTAAATTAATTATGAAATTAGGAGGCTAAGTCTATCCAATGGCAATGCCATGCGTATAGGTATACCAGAAATTAATAGTATTAAAAATTCCAATGATTGTGATAAAAAAAAATTCCAAAGATTGGTAAAACGGGGTCAGTTTTTGGGATTTCAACCTTTAATTACTAATTTAAACGATTTCATCTGATTATATTTTAAGGGTTTTTTCAAGAACAGTTATTTTTTAAAAACGTTTTCATCTAATTATATATATATATATATATTTAAGAACAGTTATTAAAGTATTTTCTCAAAGAAAATACTTTAATATATGATTAATATTACGAAACAAAGGAGTAAATTGCATCAACGTTCATGATCATTTCATTATATTCAATTTTAATCCGTGATTCTTAAGATTTAATTTTTGAATTCATGACTTTTTTTAAAAATATTTAAATACATTCATTTTATTAATTATTGTTAAATTTTAATAAAATCTTTTATTTCAACGCATATGTCCACGTGTTATAAATTTTGGATATGTGGATGTTGATATGGTAAAAATAGTTGGAATGTATACATGAATGCCCATATGACATAAAATGTGATCCATTTGAATTTTTTAGATTGGGATTTATACCATGTGGACATCCATGTGGCATTGATTTGTGTAAGAGGATAGACAAAATGGATAAATTTAAAATATTTATAAAAGATTGTAGATATAAAATTGAGTTTCAATGATTTGAATGAAAATAAAATATTACACAAAAATGATCGATGATTGATGCATTTTACTCCTATGAAAATAGTTGACTTTCATATAAAAACTAATTATATAGCCATTAATTGGTCATTGCACTAATTTTTCTCTTTTTCTTTTCATATTGTAATTTTTGAAGAATTAATTAAATTGATAAATAATTTACGAAATAATAATATATGTTGAGATATACTGTCATTATATCAACGGTAAAATTCCAATATATCCAGTGCCAGCTGATGGATAAAGCTATCAAAACAAGAGTGGCTTCAAATTTAGGGAGGTCTCATAATTTAATAATAATAATATAATTAACTATATTAAAAATATATAAAATTAAGATAATTAATAAAATATCTACCTTTCTCTCATACCAAATAAATATCTACTTTCTCTCAATTCTACATTCCTATTAATTCTCAATTATTTATTTAATTTTTTATTAAAAATATGAAAAAATCAAAAATAATTAATAAAATGACATATTTTCTTACTTTCCAATTATGCGCTTAATAAATTTTAATTTTTTTTATCACTTCTCAATTCCTACAATATTATTAATTCTTAACTATATCTCTTGTAAATTATTTCTCTTATTTGTTAATGGTAATACGTATTTAATCTCCAATAGCAATTTTTTCCTCACCTATATCTCTTACTTCCAATCAATTAATGATAACATATATTTAATGATCTTCAACAACTATTTTTTAATATACAAAATAAATTATTTTTTTATTTTCAAAATTAAATTTTTTTAAAAAAAATTATACAAATGGAAGATAACAATTCAATCGATATACTTAACCATATAAGAAGATTGAATTCTTTTTCAAATGCATCTATTGCTTTTAGAATAATATTAATAACTACAGTAAGTGTTGCTTAACAGAAAAAAAAGTTTTTCAAAATTAGAATTAATAAAATCTTATTTAAAATCAATAATGTCTCAAGAAATATTAAATAGGTTGACTATATTATCAATTGAAAAAGAAATATTAGAAAAACTTGATCATAAAAGTTTAATTAAAGGTTTTGAATTAAAAAAAAGTTAGAAGAATAAAATTGTAATAATTTTTTTTGTGTTAATTTCAATAAAAAATTTATGATTTGAATATTTAACTTTGGGCTTGTAAAGTTATTAAATCACCTTGAATATATCATATGTAGTTGAAACGTGACTAAGGGTTTGTTTGACATTGTTTTGAGATTAAGATCAGTTGTGGGACAACATGTGCTCGGCAAAATACAGTGGTGGCAATGAGATGAGATTTTATTCATAAGGAAAATAATTATCAAGGACAATAAGCTAAAACTGTGTAAATAAATTATTTTAATGTATATTTTGTGTTTTATTTCACATTATACGAACAAAAAAGAATTTTGAATGATAGATGTTAACATAATTCTTAATATAATAATTTGTAAAAATCCTTTCAAAAAAATAATTTGTAAAATTATTATAAAAAATTTTAACATAATTCTTAATGTAATAGCTAGCAAATAATGTCACAATTATTATTTTTCATATTTTTTTTATATTGAACTAATATTTGAAGTTTTGAACTCTATGCATTTAAAAAAAATAATATATATTGTCAACTCTACAATATTAAGTAATATCTAAAGTTGGCTATTATTGTATTTGTGGCCAAGGATACATGCATGAAGGTCAAGCTCTCTTTTCTTTTTTTAACTATTATATTTGTTTTCATGGTTTCTTAGGTTATGCCTAAGGCCTATGGCATTCCTTGCTTTATAAGATTCCATTTTTTAAAACAAAAAAAAAAATTTGTTCAATGCTAGCATTAAACTCTCCCTACGGGTCGGCATTTATTTTATTATTATTATAATTACGTTGAATAAAGACTTCGTAAATGTTCCCTAAGCTAGAATTATTAATTTTGTTAAAGTTAAAAGAATAAGACGTATAACAGCTATGGAGATGAGGCTGCTAGGCCTAGGCGTGTAAAATTTGAATCCAAAGGTTAATTAGAATGACCAACAAGACTTGCTTTTTTCTTCTGTTCGATCCACAAATTAAAATTGTCATTAGGCTTTACACTTTTTCTGCTAAGCTTGCATCATCATTCCGCCTTTGCTAATTGCGCCTAACAATTTGTTATATAAATTACAACGTTGGTGAGATGTGTTCATTGACCATCTCAATAAGCAAGCTTGTCGCTAGGGATGCAAAAGGTAAGTTATTCGTTAATTTTGATGTATTTTAATATTATTAAGTTATAAGGTATATGAACTTTATAATTATTTGGATGTTTTTTAAATTTATTATCTAATTTGAACCCTAATATATATTCACTATGCTATAATTATTCGAATTTGTTTAAAAACTCAATAGCATTAAAAAAATTTTATTTAACTCTTAATAGGTACTTAATTACCGGAGTCGGAATCCAAACTCGTATCCATATACAATTGAATTATATTTCATAATTCACATGCATATCGACATATTTTGTATAGTTTACTAATAATTAAATTTATAAAAGTAAACAAACA